GCAGTTAGGACAGAGCAGCTGGTTAATGGGCAGAGTGGGAGAAGACACCAAAAACAGAAATGGGAAGGAAGATGAAAGGCAACAACATACGCCCCTGCGAAGAACTAAAGAGTGTAACACATTTCCTTTGCCTCAAAGAAAACAAAACCAAAAAAATACACCAGCACCCACTCGCAAGGTTCCCAGTGCATCTGTCAAGCAAATGAGAAAGGAAATCCGAAGGTCATGAGTGAAAACTCTAGGGAGGGCAGCAGAGGGTTAATGTCCTGGGGCAAGGCTTCCTCTCCGCAAGCACAAATCTGAAATCCTAATAAAGACGCTGAAGGGTTTAGTCAGGAGCCCTCCCCTCAGCAGTCAGAGGAATGGCAAAAATGCAGAGTGAGCGCCAGTGCTGGGAGCCAGAACAATTCCATTTTCCTTCTCCCTGTGTGAAGAATTTGCATTTAAAATGAGCATTTCATCAGACCTTCCAAGAATGCTTGATATTTGGCTGCTAAGAATAAAAGTGGTCCTCCGTAACACCAAATCTCTAATTACTTAAACAGCAAATAGAAGTATCTGGGCTCCTAATGGCCTGAAGAACACTTCTAGCTAATCACATCTTCCAAGGCAGATGTAGCGTCAAATATAGACAACTCTTAAAATATGGTTAAATCACATTAACAAAAAGTAACAAGGATCCAAAGGTACCTCCCCGGAGGTGACCACGCTCCCCATGAAGCAAACTTTGCTCTCTGTTTAATTTCATATTTGCCAGGAAAGTCGTACCAGGAAATACAGATCTGCATGAGAAGGGAAGAGAGCACCCGGAGGACAGTTGGAGGCGTTTTTTTATTCGGCAGCTAAGTGCTGCGTGCCAACCAACCCTGAGCAGCGCTGGCAGGGAGCGTGACTAAGGCAGCGAGCCCAGGGGCAGCAAAAGCCGCGAGAGGCCAGCAGGCCAGGGGGTGACTGCTGGTACTCACGGGATCTGTAAATTAATAACCCTGATTCCTAGCACCCATATCAAAAAAAACAGATCTGGAATCTGGTTTTTGAAGGAAGGGAGGAAAAAAAACAAACAAAAAAACGAAGGAAGGGATCCTGAGGGGGATACCAAAAGCGTCACACACCATCTTGGCCACCAGAGGTGGGGTCAGCGAGAGGGAAGTCAGTGGGTGGCTTCAGCCCTGCTCCCCAAAGAGGCGCAGTTTTCAGTAGTTTATTAAATACAGAAGAACCTTTTATCTTCTTTACTCACTAATAACAGGAGTGGAAAGAAATACTATAAAAACATCCTCAGAAGTTCAGAAAAGGGTTACCCAGAGCCATGGGGCTGGGAGGGAGGGAGGCGGAGGCGCCCGCCCCTGTTCTGAAGGGGGATCAATACTCCAACCGGCCCTGTGACCACAGCCATCAGCCAAACTGTACGACACAAAGACTCTTGGGAGTCTGCAGTTGTTTTACTGTCTCCTTCCACATCCTCCCTCCTCATGGGGGCGGCTGCTCTGTGGTCGGGATAGCTTTTCACCAGAGCTAGAAGATTTCATAACAAGGGTGTTTTAATTAAGGAGGAGACACAAGGCAAAGCAAGAAAGAAAAAGAAGTCACTAGAGGATGCTGTCCAGCCTGCAACCTCCACGTGGTCCCCATCCCCACCAGAGCCTGGCACCAACCTGGCTTTGTAACTGACAGCCCGGGATGGGGGTCTGCAGCAGCGAGCAAGACCCACACCCGAGGCTCAGGGCCCTTTCTTCCTGCAAGCTCTCTCATTATTCAGTCTACAGAACCAGCCTACCCTCCTCCTAAAAGACAGAGGGTTCCTCTGCCTAAGCAGACTTCCTCTGTACCCCTGAGGCATGATACCTCACTAACATCCATGCCTGGTGATTTTCCAGGCTGGGAAGCTGGATCTTGAAGTCTGGGAAGATGAGTCACTGGCTAAACACCAGGAACCCAATGGGCAGTGCTGGTTTCCCAAACAAAAGGCCTTAACGTGCTGACCAGACAACTCCATGACTTCTCTGAACTGGACCTCATGGGCCTTTCCAGCTGTGGGCAGCACAGAGCTGAAACCCAGAGCACGCCACCTGGTCCTCTCCCGGGGACTCCTGCGAAACAGTCCCCTGCAGCACTCCTTCCATCATTAGTGCCATTTAGGAAACAAAACACAACCCTCGTTTCTGGCTTGTGACCCCTACAAAGAAAAGTATCCCAGGCCACTCCTTCATTAGCGAGTGTAGGGTCTAACCAACCCTTGGACTTGTCCGTGCTGACCAGGCTAACCTTAGGCCAGCAGCAACCACCATCAGAGCTTCTGCCTGTGGTCCGTCCTCTGCAAAGAGTACTCCCCCCCAAGGCTGCTCGCCTGGCTGGCTGGCTGGCTTTCATCCTGTCTGTTTAAATGTCACCTCTTTAAAGACCCATTTGGAATAGCTGCCCCCCTCCCTTGGCTCTCTGGCACTCTCCCCGCACCAAGCCTTGCTCCTCTTGCCCCTTGCCACCACTCCAAGGCTGGAGCAAAGCTTGCTCCACAGTGGATCTAGGAACTACTCAAATGAATGTACGAGGAAAACGAAGTCAAAATGTATCTGAACTACTACTACTATCAACCCGCCCACGTCAAAAGGCATGTACAAGAAGAACCATGGTGGTTTTATTTATCAGAGCCAGAGTCTGGAAACTACCCAAACGCCCATGGACAAAAGGACAGATCATATGACTATGTAGAGGTTTGGGAGACGCTCCAGCAATGGTACAGAAAACCCAGGACCAACCAGACCCGTCCCTTTACGGACAGTTAATAAGTGTGGCGTCGTTTCTCATTAGGCTCAACTCAGAAGTTAGAATCACAGAAAGACCCAGGATCCCAACATATAAGAAATTACAGATTTGTCATTTGTAATATCCATTTCAAGGAATGGGGGCAGGGGAGGAGGCGGCGGGGTGACCCTGCCTGATCCTCGGAATGGAGACAAACTGGATTGAGACCCAGGCACAAGAGCAAGCTTTGTCCCTGTCCCCATCCCAACACAAGGCCTGCTCCAATGGCGACGCCGGCGCAGCCACAGCAGAGCTGCTCCAGAGCCGCCTGCCAATAAAGGCACCATTGTTGCCTCATATGAATGTTTCCAAGTCCCGGGAGAGGGAAGCCGAGGTCCGACAACTGCTGGTGAGGGACAGTGGGTCAGACATGACCGTCACTCTCCCTCATTTGAGAAAAACATTCTTTCCAAGTTTCTGGTAGACCTGTTTCCCAACTACAGCTATTTATACCAGGACAGACAGCACGAGTAACTTACAAGCCACATAAAGGAAAAGAACAGGAATCTATCCTGCGTACTTCAAGCAGCAAGTGACAAATGAGACTGAACTGCCTGAAGCTAAGCAGCGACTTGGCCACCTTCCCCGGAACCAGCCCAGGGCTCCTTCACCTGGCAATTGGCCCCACAAAGGTGCAGGCACACGCCCACACTGCTTCCCTCTGTCAAGTCCCTCAGCTTGTCTTGGCTTCATCATTTAAAGAAACAGAAAACGCCAACACAGACCAGCCAGCTCCCCGCCACGCCACTGCCCACAGACCTTGGTTGCAGCAGGAGCTCTCCCTGGGCAGAGAGCCGTAACCCCAGGGAGGCAGGTCATTTGGAAAGGCTCTTCTGCCGGCAAGCCCTGACCCCCGAGGAAGATGGGGCCCAGCTCCTCTGCAGTCATCTGCCCCTACCTTGAAGAATTTGCAGCTCAAAAATCTCCAGGAAACCCCAAGGAGATCCCCCTTAACCAAGGGTAGGCAGTGTCATGGGCGGGTAAACAGCGTGTCAAACATTCATAGGTGGTAACACCTAGTTTGAAAGGCATGAAACACTACTTCAAATCATCTCCCACCCCGAACCCCCATCCCACAGCTTCATGACCTGATGCTAGAATGTCAAAGGGCCCTGTATTCCCTTTTCCCTGACAGAGGACAGTGGGAGGGGACATAGCTGAAGAGAACTTGGGCAGTGAGACAATGTCCCCAACAATAACCTGGGGCAATGCCAAGCCCTAGCAATAGAAATGGCCATAAATGTCTGTCCCCTTGGTCTCCCGGGGAGCCTCTGAAAGCATATTGACTATGTGATAAGCCCTCATTCCCATCCCCAACACTGCGAATCTAAAATTAGCCAGAAGAAGCGTGTGCTCAGCCCTGAGTCTCCTACACTGCACCTGATAAGTGTCACTACCTCCTTTGGCAATAACTCGTCTTGGGGAGTGCTATAAATACCACCTACGCCTCCCCGATGTGAATTATGAATACCAGGAATAGTTTCAGGGTTTCCAGGCACTGGCTCTGTGACAGGGGTGTCAAATGCAAAGTTGCCTGTGCAAGACGCAGACCCAGAAAACACACAAATCCCTCGGGCTCAACCCTGCCTTCTGAACCCAGGGGAGGATCTGCTCAAGAGCATACCCGCCTCCAGCGTGGCTGAAGCCGCTGCAGCTCGAGAAATCCAATGAGGCGCTCTGAATCTCCTATCAAGTGACTAAGAAGTATGAGGCCAAGGGACATAGTTTGAAGTTATAGAAGAGGACAAGCAGGATTTTCGCCTTCTTAGATGTTTAGATGTCATTCAGAGCTTTCTTCAAGGGATGGGGCCCCCGAAAACAGAAAGGTGGGGGGAAGCAGGTGTTGACTGGATGACCCCAGGCTGCTGGTGCTTGTCTCCCCCAGCAGCTTGCACCCAGAGGGTGCTTAACAGATGTTTGTGGAATGATCTTCAGTTCTCTGGGTTTCAGGGGCTCACAGTGGCAGAACCCTAATCCCCAGGAGCTCGGTCATCTGCACAGGTATGGACAAGGGAGTTGCCGAAAAGCAGAGTACCAGCCACAACACCCCTGGACTAGGGTGAAGGAAGATACATGCAGGAGACGGCAGGGATGGCAGAAAAGAAGTGGTGGCCGGAGACAGTGGGTCAGTAATATATCCCAGAGGCAAAAGGGAGAGAGGGTGTTAGGAGGAGAGGATGATAAACAGCAAAGTGTGCATGGCAGCCCGGATACGGGCACCTGAGAACATGCTGAGCGATCTGGCCCCCAAAGGGCTGTTGGAGGCCATTGAGAATGGCCTTCCGGTGCGGTGGTAATGGCAGAAGTTAAAGTATAGGGGCAGGAGGTATAGCCTGCTCTTTTTTAAAGTTTGCTAACTGACATCTAACTTGACGCTAAGCTAGTGGCAAAAAAATTAAATTAAATTAAAAATCACACCCTAGCCAGTTCACATCCTCAGTCTTTTCACAACCTTTGAGCTACCTGATTTTCTCCCCCTGTGTCCCCCCACCGTCTTCTCTGTGCTCCCTCGCCTCTCCCACCCAGAACACCCTCCGTCTGCTTTCTGATGCCTTGCAGAATTCACAAGGCTCAGCTGAAGCTGCTGTTCCACGAACCCCTCTGCGCTCCCAGGCCCTCATCACTTTCCTGCCCTGTTGGGGGCCTCTCTCCCAGCCTCAGGTTAAAAAGTGTGGTGACTCTGTGTCCCCCATCTCACCACAAACTCCTACAGCAGAGTCAGGGTCTCATTGCCTCTGCGCTTCTCCCAACAGGTGCCATAAGCCTTGGCCCATGACAGACCCTTAAAACAGAGCAGTGAATAAGGCTGTTTTGTTTAAAAACAGTTATTTTCATCCCTCCTTTCCTGAAACTCTTTGCACTTAGTAATAGACACAACTGCTCACGCACCACTCCTAGGTCAAGAATTTCCCCAGCATGTATGATTCTGTCAGCCCCTCGGGAAAACAGAAGCAGGGAATGAATCTCTGTACAGGGACCGCAGTGGGGGGTCGGCGGGGGCAGTGGGAAAGATAAGATGCTAGAGGCTCTCCCCCCCCCCCCCCCCCGTCCCTACACCCATCCCACGTGGTCAAAGGAAGGCAGAAAGGGCCTTGGGAAAAATGCTTCAGAAGCCATCTCCTCAAGACGCTTATCCCACAGAGCCCAGTCCTTACTAGGCTACCCTGGGTCATTCTTTCTCCAAAGAGCTGAATAAAGGAAACAAGCTTTCTAGGGTCTAAGCCAAGTGAAAGAGCTAAACTTCACTAAACACCATCCTGCCCAAGCCCTGCCTTCCCAGGGTCAAGCTGAAATCCTATAGAGGCAGGGAAGATGCAGCACCCACTTTTCAAACATTTGCCCTGAGGGTCCTGCCAAACACCCCACCGTAAAACCAAACATAAAAATGATCCCACATCCCATGAAGGGGTGCCCATCTGGGGTCCCCAAGTTCTCACTGAGGCTCCTGGCCAGAGAACCAGCAGCCCATCAGGAAACAGGCCCCCAGGCGCCAATTCCTCCAGTAAGCCGTGAAGCTGGAAGCCCTGTGCATTAAAACATCAGGGCCTGGCCTCCCCAGTGTGTGGGGGCAGCCATCAAAGCCCGCTCTTGGGGTCCCTGAGGCCTCCCTCACTTCTGACTCGCAGCCGCATACACACTGGCTTGGGGAGTGCCCTCTGAACTGACATCAGTGGAAAGGAAACATCCGGAGTGTAGTTGGAGTTGAGTCATTAAATGCTGCACAGTCCCTCAGGGAAGGAAAAAGCCAAAATGACCCACAAAATTGCTAGGGCTTCAAAACCCCAAAATAAAGTGCATGGATGCCTTTGCTCTCTCATGTGTATCCACACCCTTAGAGACTCAGGAGGCCTCTTCTGCAGGCAACCCCCCGGGCTAGTCCACAGGCTGCTGGGGTCCACCATCACACCTAGGAGTGGGCCTGGCCCGTGGGAGATAGCACCGAACACTGATTCTCTCCACCTACCCACCAGCAGCTCAGGAAGGGCTCCCATTGTCTACAAACCCTACAACTATTACCTTCTGTCCTCTACAACACTGGGAGCCAACCAGCCCCGGGAACCTAAATCCAAGGCAGGTGGGGGATGAGTGAAAACATCCACACAGAAGACAGAGGAAGAACGATTCGATGCCAGCCTGACCTACACAGGGCAAACACCCAGCATCTGCTGCATTTTTGTTGAATTCTCACATGGAAGGCTGATTCAAAGTGCCAGCAAAATGAATAAATCCAAGAACAGTTGACTGTTAAACAGGAAGGGACCAGAGGGAAACTTAGAGTCAAGTTTCAGTTTTTCACACGGCATCAAACCACCTCTCAGCAGCTGGCTCAATCAGTCAACAGGAGACACCATGGCCAGGCAGACAGGCGGCTGGCCCTGGGGAACCCCACTCAAACACTGCCTCCCTGGAGCCCCGCTAGCAGTCGGGCCTCAGACCTGCACAGGAATCAGCAACCTCGGATCAGGGCTCGTACTCTGGGTACCAGCCATGGGCAGGTCATATTCGGATCAGCAGGTACTTCCTGCCTCTTTATCTGTAGACAGAAGAGCCAGAAATCCATGCTAGTATTACTTTAAAACCCTACTTTGGGGACCCTGCGTTTACTAGTCTACCAAAAGTAAGTTGACAGCACCCAGTCACCTCCACCCCCACTCCCGTCATTATACAGGACACGTATTTATTTTGTGTTCATCATTACATACAGGACACATATTTACATTTGACTTATGGAGAAACCACAAATAATTCTTCAGTATAAGTAGATCCCATGCAATATTTGGAACACACTTACACTGAAATTAGTCACTGTTTATTCAAGATTTAAATTCAGCTGGGCAGCCTGTATTTTATCTGGCAACTCTAGTTCAACATTCAGAAGAGCATGCTGGGGCCGAAGAACAGCTGGAAGCAAACTGCATGGGCCCAGCTGTCAGCTCATTCCACCGGAGGATTAGCTAACGCGGTGCCCTGGCCCTGCTGCTCCACGCAGCAAGGACAGGCAGAGGGAGGGCCGGGACTGCGTCCAGAGAGCAAGGCAAGTCCGCTCATCCCCACTTCACTCAGGGAGCTTACCTATAACCTCAACACTAAAAACAATACATGAACTTAAAAACACAAGCCAGATACGAAAGGTAAATACTGTATCATTCCACTTATATAAGATACATAGAGTACACAGAATCACAACAACAGAAAGTAGACTAGTTGGGGGCAGGGGGAGCCAAGGATTTAGTATCTAATAGGTACAGAGTTCTCATTTAAGGGAAAGTTCTGGAGACGGAGGTTGCAAAGCAATGTGAGGGCACTTAATGCCATGGCCAACGTGCTAAAGTTCATGTTATGTATATTTTACCGTTTTTTTCAACTCTCTGATTTTCTTCTCATTTCCACTTTAGCTAGGTTCTTCCCTCCCCAGCCTAATTCACCTCTAACTTCATGCTGTAGGTATCCGCTAAGAATCTTACAGGTCAGGAGGAAATCACATCAACAAGAAGCACATGAAATGACCAGGGAGGAGGAGGTCTGCCGCTCTTGCACCCACCCGTGGCCCCAATCTGTCCGTGCCACAGACTCCCCTGCAGATGGACCCCTGTGCCCGCCCCCCTCCCGCCGCACACCCCCAGCTCTGAGGCGTGAGGGTCCTGTCATCATCCTGCGCTCAGCCTTCAACAGGCTCTGGAAACCTCCCAGTAACAAAACTCGGAAAGAGTCAAGAAAGCTCCTCTCCACAGGCGCCAGGGAGCCTGCCAGCCGGTGGAAGCCAGTGGTCCCGACCCCACAGCATCTCTGAAAGTGGAGCAACTCCTGTTTCAGAAGAAGCACCCAGACCCGAGGGCTCTGAACTCACCTTTTGGCAAATAAAAAAGTCAGACAATGGATGAAGAATAATGCAGAGAAAAAAACAAGTTTGATTTCTTCCGGGCCCAGAAAGATTTCTTTCCCACCCACTTACATGGTGATAGGACACGTGCGTGCATCTCAGCTCTGGAAGCCCCAGGGGTCACGTCACGTAAACACCTGACCTCAAGCTGCAGGTCACCTGTCTTGGAGGCGGTCAGACACAAAACAAGATCTGGGACCTTCAGATATGGCTCTGCCACATACAGTGAACGAAACATAACCACAACACAGTCAAGGGCTAGAAAGTATTCTTGAAGCCCACAGGACTCTGAAAGGGTTCCAAGGTTGGTTAGAGGCCATAGGACAGTGTCCCCTACTCAGTCCCTGGCCAGTAATCAGGGCTGCAGAGACAACTCCGCTTAGCAATGCAGATTCTCCCCGCTTGCCCAGCCCAACCTGGCCCGACCGCTGTATGGCCACACGACCCCTCACACCAGGCGTGTGGGGCAGCCAGCAGACTCCGGGGCACATGGTGGCTCAGTGGGTGCGTTTGACGCAGAGGCTGTGTAACCTCCCTGCGTCTCAGGACCACACCAGTGATGCCCAGTCCACCCGCACCACCACCCCCGGTCCACTCGACCGCAGTGGGGCTGGGGAATCCAGGTTTGGCGAGTAGCCCCAGGGATTCCAAGAAGAAGAGAGATCCTCAGACCACACATAAAACAGAGAGGCAAGATTACAGCTTTAAAAATTGTGCCCTGGCTGGTGTAGCTCAGTGGATTGAGCACAGGCCTGTGAACCAAAAGATCGTGGTTCAATTCCCAGTCAGGGCATGTGCCTGGATTGCAGGCCAGTTCTCAGCAAGGGACACACGAGAGGCAACCATACATTGATGTTTTTCTTCTTCTCTCCTTCCCTTCACCTCTAAAGATAAATAAATAAAATTTTAAAAAAATTGTTATGAGGACTGCTAATAATGTAGAGAATATTCACAAAATAATGTTAGGCAAAAAGAAAATATGAATACCCAACTGTATATTCTGTAGGGGTCTAAGCTGAATACATATTTATATACAAATTGAACTTGTGCCCAGGTTAACTAAGGAGCAAGTCTTCTACAAATACGGTCACTTTGCTACCCCCCATCAGCTTCTGAACTTGCCTGCTCTCCGAGCTCTACCATAACCTCCCAGTGCACCTGCCAGGCTCCCGTCTCCGCTGTGTCTGAGGGTCTGCTATGTGAGGGAAGAGGCTGGCTGGTGGAAAGAGGGCTCCAGCCAGGGGTCTTTTCTGAGTAAAAGCTGAAAAGTGAGGACTCCAAAGACACACTGAGAGGTCAGTGGGAAGGCTGGCTGGCTGGCTGGCTGGCTGGCCAGAGACTCTGCAGGGAACAGTAGAAAACGGCATTAGAAAGGTGAGTGAGCTGAGGTGGGGCTTCAGAAGC